TTTTTTTTTTTCAGAAAAAGATTATTGTTTAATTTAAACAAAAACGAACTAAGTAATGAACGGATGTGAAAATGGAAAAAATGGTAGTGACGATGTGAATTTGAAGAAGCAACCAGTATTAACGCTTTCGTCAGGTATTTTTTTCCTTTTTTTTTTTTTTTTTTTTGATTTGATGTTGTTTTTTCCTTGATTATATCGTTGAAGAGAAGGCAAAGAAGAGTGAAGAGCTGTTATTAGTATCTTATTAAATAAGTTACTAACAAAAAGAAGCCAGGCTGTATGTCGCGTTAAACAACCTCTCAATTTAGGATGTGTTATTTTGAGACCCGTGGAGAAACTATTTATTGACTTATTATTGAAGTTTTTAATTAATTTTTTTTCTTTTGAAGAATAACAGTTCGTTTGTTCGTACCAATTTTTCTCCAGTAAAATTGTTCCGGCAAATACTCTTGAGTTAAACGTTTGTTTGGCTTAGAATTGTTTGCTGATCTCTTTCTTGGCATATAAATTATTTACATAATACTTTCCATTGCACTGGAGGAATATTGGGCGGTAAAATGACAGGTTCAGTAGACATACGGTTTCCGTAAGATCACTTCATCAGAATTAACGCTGAGTGCTGTCAGTCGTCAACGTGAACACCTGAACTCTACGTCAGTGTTCGTCTCACATCATCGCAAGAACTCGTTTTGGCAAAATGCCATCGTCGAAGGAAAAAAATTTTTGAATTGTCCTTCTGCTTAGAATATGATGTCCGCAGCTTTCGCTCTAGTGTTAGCTTCTTGACGTCAAATAAATCGTCTTCCCATATCTTTGGATAGATACGTTTCATTTTTTTCTCCTCCAACATTTCTTTCACTTTTTTCTGGGCGTCTTCAGAAATGGCAGCTAAGGTGGAATTTTATACTTAGAAACATAGAAATCATTCAATGTTCCAGTTGTTCCCCAAGCTTTTGTTTGATATTTGTGGAAGGATGTTTTTTTTTTTTTCAAGTACAGATTCTAATAATCATTTCTAAGCGCTAAAGCACTTTGTAGTAGTGACCACAAAATTT